GCTCTCGGGCCCCTGGGAAGCAGGCGGCGTGCAGAGCGGGGTGCCGGGCCCCCTTTCTCAGAGCGGGGCCCCGCAGCCGCCTTCACACGCCCGTCTTTCAGGCCAACAATGACATCTTGGCCTTCCTGTCGGGGATGCCAGTGACCAGAAACACCAAGTACCTCGACCTCAAGAACTCGGTGAGTCAGAGCCTCCCCACCCAACGCTTACTGGTATTTAATCTCTGTGTTGAGTTTAAGATTTAGGATTCCAGAGTAATTGTTTTAATGTGTACTGTTTGTAGTAATGACAGTTCTGTTGCTCAGCACACACCCCATTCTTCATTGTAACTTTGGAGATTAAAGAGTTCCCCTCCTAAACAGATCGATTCCCCCTCTTGCGCACTTTCTCTTTCAAGAACTGTCTCACTCGCCTCGCCAGCCTGGCTCAAGTGGTTGAGCATCGACCTATGAACCAGGAGGTTGCGGTTCGATTCCCGGTCAGGCACTTGCCCGGGTTGCGGGCTCGATCCCCAGTGTGGGGCGTGCAGGGAGCAGCCAATCCGTGATTCTCTCTCATCATGGATGTTTCTCTCTCTCCCTTCCTCTCTGAAACCAATAAAAACATATTTAAAAAACAAGTAAAATAAAAGGCAGCTGCCGTGGCACTTGGGTTTCCAGCTTCCGGTGGCAGAACCTCTCCCAGCGCCTCTGGTGGGAAGCCAGTCAGTGTGTGTGGCACAGGGAATGGGGCGTCCCTGCCGTCAGCCGGCTCTGCCACCCGCTTCCCCCAGCCAGCCACCTGGCTGTGCACCCGCCCCCAGTGCCATGACCTTAAGCGAGTCCCTGACCCCTGCACCTGCTCCCACATGTGTGGACGGCCTGGGCACCCCTTCTGCCCGGAGCTCCGGTGGCAGGGAAGTGAGCCATCTGAGACTGGCTCTCAGCACACAGTGGTGCCAGTCCGGACGCTGCCAGCAAGGATTCCTCCTGGCATCTGAGCCCCCGGAAGAGCTCAGGTCTCCGTCTGCCCCACCCCCAAAGCAGGCCTGTATCCCCTGTGAGAGTGCTCGGCCCCGAGGGGCAGGGGCAGGCACGAGCCCTAGAGCTGGGGTCCCGCCTGCACCTGGCAGAGGCCGCCGCCTGCTCCGCAGCCTGGGGCTCTGAGGCAGGAGGTAATCAGCTGGCCCAGGCTCCTTCCCCCTCTGGGCCCTGACTCAGGGGCACCTTTCCCACCGCTCAGGGTGACTCATCCCCACTCATGCTGACGAGGCGACTGATTCCCTCTCCACGCAGGAGTCTCCCAGCCCCGGGGCAGCCAGGCCACTGGGCGCAGCTTTGCTCTGTGGGGACCCTGGTGCCTTCTGCCTCCTCCAGCCCTTGGGGTTGACAGCAACAGCCCTGGCTTTAGACATGGGTTTCCAACTGGCGCCTTTATCCAGAGAGACCCCAGTCTGCCCAGAGAGGTGCCAGTCTGCCCAGAGAGGTGCCAGTCTGCCCAGAGCGACCCCAGTCTGCCCAGAGAGGTGCCAGTCTGCCCAGAGGTGCCAGTCTGCCCAGAGAGATCCCAATCTCCCCACCTGCCCCTTTAAAGCCAGTGACTCAGTGCATCAAGTTAGGGAGTCGGCCACTTGTCTGGTTACCCAGTATCCAGGGCTGGCCCCGCTGCTCAAGGCCCGGACACCCCCAGCGGAGGGCCCGGGGCCTCTCAGGGTTAAGTTTCCCTTCCCAGGGCCAGGCTGCGAGGGAGCTGATGGTCACTCCTCCTCCCCCTCTCTTCCCTCGCTGGGAAGCTGGGCACGGAGATTGGCCCGATGCCCCGGGTGCTTCTCTGTCCCCAAAACATTAATTCTGAGGCTGGAGCAGCAGGACAGGTCCCGGGAGGATGCGTGCCCTGGTTGCGTGGAGATAATTAGGGAAATGCAATTATCATCTG